TGTAACCAGCTCAGGGATGGATGGGGGCGGCAGTGTGTGCCTGCATCGTCTGTGTCTTCTGCACAGCTTTCCATTTGTAGAAGCCACCCTAAAGTAACTCTGAACCACGGTCGTCCTGCGGATGGGCTCTCCCTGCCTTCCCTAGCGTTTCAGGGGAACAAAGCTATTTTGGGCCGAATCAGTTTGTCCAGCTCCTGCATTTAACCTAACTGCTCCCTAGCGCCCCGTGCTTGGGAGATGTAATTGGATGAGCTTATCCAGCCGTTTGATACTTGTTAAAAAGAACACTTTGCCATGGGTCACCATGAGTGTGTGTAGATTGCTTTGAGCTCTGCCCTTGCCCCCGGTGCACGGAGCCACTCGTCCCATCCCTGTGCTGTGTACAGAAAGCTTCCTCAATGTTCTGTCCTGCTGTGACCAAGACCATCTGATCCATTCAGACTATGAACTTGCCGCCCAGTAAGGATAAGCGCGGGAAAATATTTGAAACCAATGAAAGCGATAGCGCACCATGAAGCGATGGGCTTTCGGGACAGAACGCAGCATTCTGTGACAAAAATGTTGCAACGATTATTTCTCTGCACATCTACACATAATGCTTAGAACTGACAGATTTTGTGTCTTTGTTTCCAACAGATAGTAATAAGTATTATTTTTTGTAAATAAGCTACAAAAACCTTTCCTTGTAGCCATGTAAGGAAAACAATTCATAGTTCATAGAAAGAACTGCAGCTAAACTTACTGCAGCCCAAGTAGTTCTAATTAATTTTTAAAAATTTCATTCCAACATTAGATCCATTGAAAAAAATGATGCATAACAAAGAGGGTTTTTTTCCCAACTGCTTGTTTATAAGAGGAGGCTTGCAAAAGTCAAAGAAGTCAACTGAAGTGGTGAGATAGCATACGCTAAGAGGCAATAAACCCCTACTTCTGGACTGAAGGTAAAAATAGTCCTTCACTGTGTGAGGAATTGAAAGGAAGGGAGTAGAAAGTTTCAGGTTCTTTGAAACCTGCATACATCTGCAGTACTTCTCGACTTACTCATTTAGCCAATAGAGAAGCAAAAGTTCTAACAAAGTATCTGGATGGGGTTTTCCTCAGTAGCTTAGGGGATTCTAAATGAAATGATGCAACAGGTAAATGAAGATGTTTATGTGGTTTCAAAGGCTTAACACAGCTTCTGTTCCTGGGTTTAGAGGCCGCTGGTTACACATTGAAATTTGCTGTCTTGTTGTGTGCTTCTAAAAACTGTGATACTGTAAGAGATTTTGGGAAAATATTTGTTTCCCTTAGCACTAGATGACATCTTCACATCACTAAGGTATGTGTACAGTATTTCTGAAGTTAAGTAGATGCTGCGAAGAAGTGCTCCATTGTAAGACAGGTCAATGAGGTCACTGAAGAAGCCAAAGGCGGTGGTGGTGCATGGGATGTAAATGAAGTAGGCTTGTATCTGAGGTTTGTTAAGCCTCTGCCATCCTGCCGAGCGGTCACAGAAATGCACAAGGGAACTTGCATTTGCAAAGCTGAACTTAATTATCTCTTGTCTAACTCATTCAGGCTGTCAGCAACTTTGAGGCATAATGGTTTTATCTACACTGTGCCTTTGAGTCAGTGACCTCCTCGTTCTTCTGCTTGGATTCTTGCCAGTGACAAGTTTGGGTTCTGATCTCATAGAATGGGGTAATTTCCTTTGTAAAATGTGCAGGGATGTATTACACTGCTGGGACAGGCAAGTTGAGAAATAGTTACTTCTATCTTTCTCTTAAATACTTGAATTCACATTTCTTTTAGTAAAGGAATCTTTGAGGTAATAAGTTTCTAATTATGAGTCACAGAAATGTAGAGGTGACAACAGGCAATAAGAGTGTGGGTTTTTTCCAAATGTTGGGCCTCTGTAATAAATGAATATGAATTAGAGACATAAACATGTTAAAACACTTTATTGCTATTTTTCGCTAAAGTAGCCTTGAAACTGGCATAAGTAATTAATGAAGGATTCATGCACAATTAGGAAGCCTCTGATCACACTGCTGCTGTTGTAGGGGGGTTTTGTCATACGTTCCTATCTGCTTCCTTGGTAGAGAAGGGGTTGCTGGGAGTAGTCCTGTGCTACTGTAATCCCGGCATCTGGAAATAACTCATCCAGGCATACTTTAGAGAATTTTAATGTTGTTCAAGGTGTTGCAGGAGCCTGAGCTGGCTTAAGAGTCAAGAGGGGCCATGAGCTACGCTAGCAAATCTTTGTCTTCCCAGCCCCTCACTGGCACTTCTAAATCTCTCTCTGGTTGCTGAATAGAGGAGTAATGTATTCAGAGTTTTTTTTCTAGTTCTTCTGTCAATGGTGTCAAGTATCGTAGCCTGCTGGTTTATTTGTATTTGTAGTATTTGTAAACAATTACTTATGTTAGATGCAGAGGCTCGTGATCAAGCTCTAGGCACAAATAAAAAGCAAAGTGCTTCAGGTTTATTATTTGGAGCACTAAGTGCCCAGTCTTCTTGTTTCTTGAATTTCAAAACCTTGCCTGCATCAGTTTGGGGTAGCCAAAGATTATTGCAGAGAAACTTGCACAAAGTTCTTTAGGTGTTTTGACCTATTATGTTTTGCACTTGCAAAACATTAAAGAAACCCTTCAAATCTGAGAGCAGTGTTGTTGAAACAGAGTAATTAATTGACTGAAAATATAGCAAGCAGTTTGTAAAATTTGACAGTCTAAAAAAACCTGCAAACCCACAACGTTTTAACTACAAACACACACATTAAATTCAGTGCATGTTTGTTAACATAGCCCAGAAAGCTCTACCATCAGTTTCAGCCTTCCACTCTTCAAGTCCCCTCTACAATTAACCTGTGAACAAATTGCCCTCTAGCTCCCCCAGCTGAATCACTACAATGGAAAAGTGAACAGCTGGTGGTTTTCTTCAAAAGGCTGACCCGTGTTTGTTCAACTTTGATTTTGGTAGGTTTTGCTTTGGGTAGTTTGGCTTTTTGGTCTCACTTGCATTGCTCACACCCTGCCAGGATCTCCTTTGGAGCAGCCATACTCCAAGGAAGACAGGACCTTCTGGACCTAGGTGTGTTACTATGGAAACAGCTGGCACTTAAAATGTTTTGAGTTGAAGTGGTCTGAAGGATGTAAGGGGAAAAAAGATGTATCAGATCTGTGAAAAGAGAAAAGATTGCCCTGGATGAATGAAACAAGAGTGTGATGAGGCCCTGACATCTAGGAGCAAGGTATCGGAAGGCTTGTTTTCTTTGCAGCAGGCTTCATAGTCTTCATCGATTAGCAATGCGACCAGAGGAGTTCTGGGAGGAGAGCACTGGAGCAAGTTTTATATAACTGGTTTCTTAGATGACATTGCAAACATCTATCTGAGTCCTTGAAGCCAAAGAGAGAAGTGGCTTTATAAGTTGTGACCTTATTTATATGTGACTGTGCCGTTTCTGTGGATGCGTGCAGCGGGGATTGTAGCAGAAGTGTATCTTCCAGCTGTGTAATGTACACAGGCTGGGCAATTACTTATCTCTCAGTGACTTTATGACAGCACATGCTCCTTTTTCCCTGAGGCAGCCAAGCTGCCGTGTCCTCTTGAGCTTATGCGGTGCTGCTTTGTTGCTTGTGCAGAATATAGCATTTTCTCTTCTTGTTAGATAAAGCTTTTATAATGCCATACCCTAAGCAGGGGTCTCATCGTGGTGTCTGGGATGTCAAGCTCATGCTTCTCTCTCGCCCACGAAGGCCTGTCATTTTCAAGGTGGTTGAATACTTGCCAGTTGGAGAAAAAGAGGAGACGTGAGGCAGCAGGTCAGCAGAGGGAAAATGGGGAATGTATTCTGGAGCCAAGGAACAGGGGAATACAACCCAGTGAGCATGAAGGAATAGTGGTGCTTTTTTTTTTTTGTTACAGACCTCTGAAACAGGCGCAGGAACGAAGTGCTGAGACCAGCAAAACTTCCTCTTATCTCTCATATCATTGTTACCTAGTCTTGTTTGAGTTACTATTAGAAAGCCCCTTGAGACGTAAATTTATGATGCTGGTCTTCTGCATTTCTTTCATTTCCTGCAAATCCACATATGCTATAAAGCAAGTCCCAGGTATGTCATTGTCAAAAGAGGACAGAAAGCATTGGTAGAAAGGAAGTTACCAGAAGTGCGTTTTGTAGTTTAAAGGATTAATTCTTACATGTGGGAGTGTAATGGAATTTTGTTTTCTGAGGAGATATCAATCTGATTAACGTGCTCTATAATCCCTGCAAACCACAGAAATATCTGCCTTAGGAAGTGAGTTTTATGTGACATAACTCCAAAATTAAATTTCAAACTTGTGTCTGAAGCTGGTGTATATTCAGTGTGTGGAAGTTGTGTCTCTGACATGAGGCAGGTAGGAGAATTTGGAACCTTGTTGCTTAAACTTCGATAACTGACAACCTGAAAAAAGTCAGCTTCTTTTTAGTATATTTTTGAAGTAATGCATTTTACTTTGTGCTTGTCTTGGAGTAAGAGTCCATATGTGGTTGATTACCATTCCTCAGGTGACCTACAGGAACTAGAGCTACAGTGACATAAAATCTCTTGGTCCAAAGACAATTGAAAGTGATGTTATTGTGAGTGCTAAGGCTGGTTCCTGTTTATCTAGATTTTGCCTACTATTTCCTTGAAGTCTTAAGGAAAGGCACACAGGAGAGGAAGTGGTAAAGAGTCAGATGCCTTTTTATTTTTGGAAGAAGGTGGAGTACAGTTGTGGTGCACAGGGTGTGTCGCCCTCTCTGCGGGACAGTGAGGGGTTCTGAACTGCACTACTCTGGTCTCTCCATCAGAGCAGGGAGAAAGTGTGATTTTTTTGAAAAATAAGTGGAGGGGTTGTAGGGAAATAGGAGAAATCAAGGTTCCAGTAGATTCTTCAGACGAATGTCAGTTGCTAGGCATGTCGCAAAACAGTAAGGAAAAAGCTCTGAAATGAAGATGTTTGTGGTGTTTCATTCCTACAAATGCTTCTCCTGATGTTTTCCTACGACGTGATAAAGAATTATCTTGATTCCATTAATCTGGTATTTTTTCTCAATAAATCCACAGTATCCTAGATATAAAATCATTTAAGTCAGTTTTGGTTGTGAGAATGCATGTAGCAAAGCTCACAGTCGTTCCTCTTTCTCCTGGCTACTGAATAAACTGTATCTGTTTATTTGTTTCCATACTTAATCGATATTGTGCAGTTGTATATCCTGGAAAAGGAATTCAACAAGTACATTAAATTAGGAATGTATTTATTTAAACTCTCTAATGCATCGGACAGTAATAAATTTATGCTCTGGTGAGGGCACAGTTTTGGGAGGGGGAGGAGGTTGGTTTATGGGCTTTTTTCCTGTCAGACAATGTCTCCACTGCAAGGGTGCTCTGCGATCCACATGGGCACCCTCTCCTGGGTAACAAAACCCCTTAAACCTCAAAAGTTTTGGGGTTACCCATAGCTACATTGAATCTTGAAAAGTCTAAAAATTCTGCAGAAGAGCTTATTCAAATGATATGGTGTGTTTCCTTATTTTATATGAAGTTTTTTCATAAACTGTGTCATACTCATGCATAGAAAATACTGGTTCAGTAATTTGGTTAATGCTTATTCATATGAACATCTTACAAATGAAAAGCTTGCTTTATATAGCTTACAGTACTTTGAAATATGTAGATTCTTCTTACCATGGGCACCACTACTGCTTTCTAGAAGGAAACAAATATTGGCTAATTTGACAGTACTGTAGCATTTTGGAGCAAGTTAGAAAAAATTTCCCTGTGTTCTCTATGGTTCAAAAAGTAACTCTCCTTAAGGACAAAAAAGAAGAGCTACTGCTTAAATAATTGTAACAGTGCACAGGACACGCAGATTGCAGTTATACGCTCTTTATTTGATAGCCATGTGCAGTAGAGATCATTTTAAGGTCTACTGCCAATAGGTATATAGTTGGAGAGAGGCTCACTAGACTAATACCTAGGCTTTAGGTATTTGGGTTTCTCATAAACTTTAAGGCTGAAGAACACTTGCAAAGCCAGCCCTTCATCAGGGCTGATGATGATGGAGACACCAATCCTCACTGCCAAGCTATCATGCTCAGAACCAGTATGCTCCCTTCAGCTCCGTGCAGTCGCACCTTTGTTCACAGAGGCCACATAGAGAAGTCAGATCCACCAGAACTGAGTTCCGCAGTCTCCCTGAAGAGTTCTTGGGTGCTCCTGTTACTGACTGTGTGGTCCACCAGCTTGTGCCCCTGTTCAGAGCATTGGTCTTTGTGCCCTAGGCAACCCCAGTGGGGAGCGGTGTGGGAAGACTTGTGTGGAAGAGCGTGATAACCAGTGGCTGGGTGGAT